TCATTTCAGCATATTTATCATTATGGTTTAATAGTTCAGCTGGCAAGGGTTGGTGGTTGAGTCCTCCCCGTGGTTGGTCATAGTTGTAATGAGGGTTTCCAATGTTGTGGGTTATGGCTGAACTCTGTTTCCTTGGCCACATTTGATCATCTGTTTAAGTCTTTTTGCTTGGCTACATTTGATCATCTGTTTAAGTCTGTTTCGTTGTAACCATTTTATCCTCTGTTTAAGTCTGTTTCTGTGATAATTTAACCTTCTAGTCAGACAGACAAATGCTGAGGTGGAAGATGTCGTTCTTCAGGTAAATTTGATCCTTTCGAGAACTTTGTAATAATTGTTGATGGGAAATGTTGAATTTTGATATTTCTTCCTCAACTCTTATTTCTAGATGATATTCAATTTCTCTCTCTGAAGTTCGCGGTAATGTGACTTCTGTTATATAAGTTGTTTTCTCAGTGATTTGATCAACAACGGGGTTGAGGTAACAACTTTATTTAATCAATTTCCTTCTGTACGAACAGCAAAACATAAATCTTATAGTTTATATCTTATATACAAACAATTAAATGTCTTTCACATTTTTCACATCTTCATTGAGATTAAGTTTGAGATGAAAGTTATCAATTTGTCCACGTTTTGTGGGGAGACGACTTTTCTTGTTATTCATAATAATGTGTTATTATTTATAGAAATAAACAATTGAATACTAAATCTTAATCTATAATATTTAAATTCCTTATTTGTGATGTAAATTAATAGTTGGGTTGGACTGTGATACGAGGACACGTGTTGACACAATGACAGGTGTGGACACGAAGTGGTTGCTTGTCTGGGATTCTTGCTCTCGAATAAAAAATTTGTCCCACGTTAAAGAATGTCGCGTCTATCCATCACTTGCAACAAGAGCAGAGGGACACCAGCGACTCTCCCAGCAGCTACCCCAGAGTCTTCCCCAGCAGCTCCCGTAGAAGGCATCCCCCCCCACCCACCCACCAATACACTGTCGAGCCAGCAAGGTAGTAAAGTGAGAGAAGTTCTTGCTACACAAGTGGCCTCACAACCTGCTCATGCCGCCAACAGTCAGCCAAGAGCCCAATAATTGTACATAACTTGGCACTTCACTCCATATCTGCGTGTCAGGTGAAATGTTCGGAGCCTCGGCTTATCACTGAAAGCAATTCTTCGCCAAAACTTCAAATACGTCTCTTCAAAGCTTGGTAAAGGAAAAAGTGATCTAAGTTAGATCACTGACATCGCAAGATGTCAGTGATGCGACATAGAGCCACGTCGCTTAATCTTGAAAATGAGTTATATCTTCTTGAAGGTGTTGTGCTCGTCGTCCGTGCTGCGGTGAGCCTCGTCCTTTGAGGTCCGGCTTCCGTAAATCTCGAATTTTTCTTCAAAAAAAAAAAAAAAAGGGGGAGGCCTCCCAACTCACATCCGTCCTGTGTGTGTGCTCTGAGACGCGACTGAGGACTCTAGCTCCAATCGAGAGCCTCATAGCACCTCATCGGGATCACGTGACCTTCGGTCCAACCCTGATTGGATGAACGATTCAAACTTTGACAAATAGAATCGCGTGCCATTATCTACGATCCCAGAGCCTAGCCTGACTCCAGTGGGCGCGAAACTGCTCATGATATGAAGACACCAACTGACGACATTTTTTAATAAAATCTTAAAATATATTTATAACCTATAGACACTTAGCTAATTTCATATCCCTTTCTTTTTACTAAACTTTCTCTGACCCATGTCTTCTGAAGTGTACTGTTTAGACGCCAAAAGCAGGAGTGATAAGAGCGATGGAAGGTCCGTAAAAGTACGTAATACTGTATGAGGTGCTGTAGTTCCACCTATAGCACCACTAAAAAGTTAATTATTCTAATTAATAATTATTACTCTCCCCTTCTGCTTGGTCTTGAAGGAAGCCGGCCTCGGGTGAAAGAGAGCAGTGACGATCTCTGTCTGGAACCCTTAGGTGCGGGACCGGGACGTCCACCTCCTGGGGCTCGTGCAGCTCAGGTTCTGCTTCAGGAGGCTAGGGTCGTTCTTGCTTTTGCTGGGGTGGTCTCCGGACCCGACCACGGCGGTCAAGGGTTTGGAGTCCCTGCGCCTTCTTTCACCAACTTCGAGGTCATCTTCGGATCTGGAGCCGCTAAGGCAGTTTGTTGTTGCCTTCAACCTCGTCCTGACAGTTCCTGCGACGGCGCTGGAATCAGTCAATTGGCGTTTGTCTTTCCATTGGAGACTTTTCGGGGCCGAGGAGACGGGGGGGATGGACCTGCTGCATGGGTGACAGCTTCTCCATTTCAACCTACCCTTGCTTTGCACCCTGGAGAGGCCACTCCAGACCGACAACCAGAGAGTAACTCAATAGTTTCCTGAGATTGATGGATGCCTACTACTTCTGCATTAGGTGTTGTAGTTCTGCATGTGGTGCTGTAGTTATGTATGTAGTTCTGTATAAGGTGCTGTAGTTCTGTATTTGGTGCTGTAGGTCTGTATGTGGTGCTGTAGTTATGTATGTGGTACTGTAGTTCTGCATGTGGTGCTGTAGTTCTGTATTGGGTGCTGTAGTTCTGTATAAGGTGCAGCAGTTCTGTATAGGGTGCTGTAGTTCTGTATGTGGTGCTGTAGTTCAGTATGTGGTGCTGTAGTTTTGCAATAGGAGCTGTAGTCCTGTATGAGGTGCTGTAGTTCTGTATGTGGTGCTGTAGTTCTGTATAAGGTGCAGCAGTTCTGTATAGGGTGCTGCAGTTCAGAATGGGGTGCTGTAGTTCTGTATGTGGTGCTGTAGTTCTGCATGTGGTGCTGTAGTCCTGTAAGAGGTGCTGTAGTTCTGTATGAGGTGCTGTAGATCTGAATGTGGTGCTGTAGTTCTGTATGAGGTGCTGTAGTTCTGCATGTGATGCTCTAGTTCTGTATGAGGTGCTGTAGTTCTGTGTGTGGTGCTGTAGTTCTGCATTAGGTGCTCTAGGTCTGTATGTGGTGCTGTAGTTCTGTATGTGGTGCTGTAGTTCTGCGTGAGGTGCTGTAGTTCTGCATGTGGTGCTGTAGTTCTGCATGTGGTGCTGTAGGTCTGTATGAGGTGCTGTAGATCTGCATGTGGTGCTGTAGTTCTGTATGAGGTTCTGTAGTTCTGTATGAGGTTCTGTAGCTCTGCATTAGGTGCTGAAGTTCTGCATGGGGAACTGTAGTTCTGTATGAGGTGCTGTAGTTCTGAATGAGGTGTTGTAGTTCTGTATGAGATTCTGTAGTTCTGTATGTGGTGCTGTAATTCTGCATTAGATTCTGTAGTTCTGTATAAGGTGCTGTAGTTCTGCATTAGATTCTGTAGTTCTGTATAAGGTGTTGTAGTTTTGTATGAGGTTCTTTAGTTCTGTATGAGGTGCTGTAGTCTTGAATGTGGTGCTATAGCTCTGTATTAGGTTCTGTAGTTCTGCATTTGGTGCTGTAGTTCGGTATGAGGTTCTGTAGTTCTGTATGTGGGACTGTAGTTCTGCATTAGGTGTTGTAGTTCAGCATATGGTGCTGTAGTTCTGCATTAGGAGTTGTAGTTCTGTATGAGGTTCTGTAGTTCTGAATGTGGTGCTGTAGTTCTTCAATAGTACCTGTAGTTCTGCATTAGGTGCTGAAGTTGTGTATGAGGTGCTGTAGTTCTTCAATAGTACCTGTAGTTCTGCATTAAGTGCTGTTGTTCTGTATAAGGTTCTGTAATTCTGCATAAGGTTCTGTAGTTCTGTATGAGGTTCTGTAGTTCTGTGTGAGATTGTGTAGTTCAGTATGAGGTTCTATAGTTCTGCATTAGGTGCTGTAGTTCTGTATGAGATGCAGCAGTTTTGTACCCTTCACCACCTTGCCTACCCTTCCCCACCTTGCCTACCCTTCACCACCTTGCCTACCCTTCACATTGCCTACCCTTCACCAGCTTGCCTACCCTTCACTACTTTGCCTTCCCTTCACCACCTTGCCTACCCTTCACCTCTTTGCCTATCCTTCACCACCTTGCCTACCCTTCACATTGCCTACCCTCCACCACCTTGCCTACCCTTCACCACTTTGCCTACCTTTCACGACCTTGCCTACCCTTCACGACCTTGCCTATCCTCCACCACTTTGCCTACCCTTCACCACCTTGCCTACCCTTCACCACCTTGCCTACTCTTCACCACCTTGCCTACCGTTTACCACCTTGCCTACCCTTCACCACTTTGCCTATCCTTCACTACCTTGCCTACCCTTCACCACCTTGCCTACCCTTCACCACCTTGCCAACCCTTCACCACCTTGCCTACCCTTCACCACGTTGCCTATCCTTCACCACCTTGCCTACCCTTCACCACTTTTCCTATCCTTCACCACCTTGCCTACCCTTCACATTGCCTACCCTCCACCTAAAATGGTGGAGGGTAGATTTGGTGATGCTAAAATACAGCTTCACCAGGAGAGAGTAACTACAAGCTCCATAATCCTCCACACACTCAAGGTAGTTATTAGGAGAACCCACTCAGGGATATTACAGGGTAATAGTTATCAAGTGATGTGTTCACCTGTTCTATGATTAAACGCGTGATGTGTTGCAGGAGTTGCAATGTCAACCAAGAACATTGTACACTCTATTGCCACAGTCACTGTGAACAGTTGGGATTGGTATTCATCATTATTCGTGTCATTCTTCAAATTATTCACTGCTTCCCTCGTGAATATCTTCCACCTTGTGAGGATATCTTTTGAAAGAAGGGAAGACCCTAGTGAAAGAAAAGTTAAGGTGGATCAGGAGAAAGCGTAAGCCAGTGCTAGTAGGTCTTTTAAGGGATGTGAGATAAGGATCTGGTATTGGACGGAGGCAAAGAACGGTGCCCAACCGCTTGGAGTGTTGGGGACCGAACGCTGACCTTAAAGAAGCCAGGCTGTCGCTCCACTCTTGCGATGATATATTTTTGAAAGCCATCGTGCGTTTTCATCCATATGCTGAGATGACCAATTCTTCTGATCTTTCAGGCTTCGGAATTATGAGCAGAATCCCTGTCATTTGTATCGACGTGAATATTTGTATCGTTGTTGACGGAATTTTTGTTTCTACTGCGGACAGCATCAGCGTGTGTGTCATTTTTGACGATAGTTGGACTCCTTCCGAGGACAGCATCAGTGTTTGTGTCATTATTGCCGGTATTTTTGTTCCTACTGTGGACAGCATCAGTGTTTGTCTCATTTTTGACGATAGTTGGTCTCTTTCTGAGGACAGCATCAGTGTTTGTGTCATTTTTGACGATAGTTGGGCTTTTTCTGAGGACAGCATCAGTGTTTGTGTCATTATTGCCGGTATTTTTGTCCCTATTGTGGACAGCATCAGTGTTTGTCTCATTTTTGACGATAGTTGGGCTCCTTCCGAGGACAGCAGCAGTGTTTGTGTCATTTTTGACGATAGTTGGGCTTTTTCTGAGAACAGCATCAGTGTTTGATTCATTATTGCCGGTATTTTTGTTCCTACTGTGGACAGCATCAGTGTTTGTGTCATTTTTGACGATAGTTGGGCTTTTTCTGAGGACAGCATCAGTGTTTGTGTCATTTTTTACGATAGTTGGGCTTTTTCTGAGGACAGCATCAGTGTTTGTGTCATTTTTGACGATAGTTGGGCTCTTTCTGAGGACAGCATCAGTGTTTGTGTCATTATTGCCGGTATTTTTGTTCCTACTGTGGACAGCATCAGTGTGTGTGTCATTTTTGACGATAGTTGGGCTTTTTCTGAGGACAGCATCAGTGTTTGTGTCATTTTTGACGATAGTTGGGCTTTTTCTGAGGACAGCATCAGTGTTAGTGTCATTTTTTACGATATTTGGGCTTTTTCTGAGGACAGCATCGGTGTTTATGTTAATTTTGACGATAGTTGGGCTGTTTCTGAGGACAGCATCAGTGTTTGTGTCATTTTTGACGTTAGTTGGGCTCCTTCTGAGGACAGCATCAATGTGTGTGTCATTTCTGACGATAATTGGGCTCCCTCTGAGGACATCATCAGTGTTTGTACTATAACTGATGGTACTTATGTTCCTACTGAGGAGTTCATCGGTGTTTGTGCCATTACTGGCCATTTTATCTGTAACTGAGATAATTATTACGTTTTTATTGTCAATCGTTCTGTTTTTGACGAAATAACCCTTTTTAGAGCCTAAATATACCGAAAATATGAGAAGAATAAAAAAAATGGATGCCAAAAGCAGTATTACCCAAAATTGAAAATTGAAAGCCGTTTCATGGATTAATTCTTCTTACCCTGATTGTTAGTCTCCCCTCTTAGATATCACTTGATCTTTGCAACAATATATCCGCACCGGGAGTTGATACCCAGAGTCTCGCGGGCGTATACTGTGTTGGGGCTGCTCGTTTAATCTGTCCCGATATTCTTGTGTATATATGTAATTATCAAATTTCTTTGTGTTTTCCCTCGAAGCTCCTGCATTGGGTTCAGAGTGTGTGTTGTGTCGGGGTTGGTGGTGTATTCTTTCCTAATATTGTGGTGTTGTATTTTCTCTCATCATTTCAGCATATTTATCATTATGGTTTAATAGTTCAGCTGGCAAGGGTTGGTGGTTGAGTCCTCCCCGTGGTTGGTCATAGTTATAATGAGGGTTTCCAATGTTGTGGGTTATGGCTGAACTCTGTTTCCTTGGCCACATTTGATCATCTGTTTAAGTCTGTTTGCTTGGCTACATTTGATCATCTGTTTAAGTCTGTTTCGTTGTAACCATTTAATCCTCAGTTTAAGTCTGTTTCTGTGATAATTTGACCTTCTAGTCAGACAGACAAATGCTGAGGTGGAAGATGTCGTTCTTCAGGTAAATTTGATCCTTTTGAGAACTTTGTAATAATTGTTGATGGGAAATGTTGAATTTTGATATTTCTTCCTCAACTCTTATTTCTAGATGATATTCAATTTCTCTCTCTGAAGTTCGCGGTAATGTGACTTCTGTTATATAAGTTGTTTTCTCAGTGATTTGATCAACAACGGGGTTGAGGTAACAACTTTATTTTATCAATTTCCTTCTATACGAACAGCAAAACATAAATCTTATAGTTTATATCTTATATACAAACAATTAAATGTCTTTCACATTTTTCACATCTTCATTGAGTTTAAGTTTGAGATGAAAGTTATCAATTTGTCCACGTTTTGTGGAGAGAGGACTTTTCTTGTCATTCATAATTACGTGTTATTTTTTATAGAAATAAACAATTGTATACTAAATCTTAATCTGTAATATTTAAATTCCTTATTTGTGTTGTAAATTAATAGTTGGGTTGGACTGTGATACGAGGACACGTGTTGACACAATGACAGGTGTGGACACGAAGTGGTTGCTTGTCTGGGATTCTTGCTCTCGAATAAATAATTTGTCCCACGATAAAGAATGTCGCGTCTATCCATCACTTGCAACAAGAGCAGAGGGACACCAGCGACTCTCCCAGCAGCTCCCCCAGAGTCTTCCCCAGCAGCTCCCCCAGTCTTCCCCCAGCAACTCCCACAGAGTCTTCCCCAGCAGCACCCGTAGAAGGCATCCCCCCCCCACCCACCAATACACCGTCGAGCCAGCAAGGTAGTAAAGTGAGAGAAGTTCTTGCTACACAAGTGGCCTCACAACCTGCTCATGCCGCCAACAGTCAGCCAAGAGCCCAATAATTGTACATAACTTTGCACTTCACTCCATATCTGCGTGTCAGGTGAAATGTTTAGTGCCTCGGGCTTATCAGTGAAAGCAATTCTTCACCAAAACTTCAAATACGTCTCTTTAAAGCTTGGTAAAGGAAAAGTCATCTAAGCCACGTCGCTTAATCTTGAAAATGAGTTATATCTTCTTGAAGGTGTTGTGCTCGTCGTCCGTGCTGCGGTAAGCCTCGTCCTTTGAGGTCCGGCTTCCGTAAATCTCGAACTTTTCTTAAAAAAAAAAAGGGGGGTGGAGGCCTCCCAACCAACATCCGTCCAGTGTGTGTGTGCTCTGAGACGCGACTGAGGACTCTAGCTCCAATCAAGAGCCTCATAGGGGTCACGTGACCTTCGGTCCTACCCTGATTGGATGACCGATACAAACTTTGACTAATAGGGTCGCGTGCCATTATCCTCGATCCCAGAGCCTAGCCTGACTCCAATGGGCGCGAAACTGATCATGATATGAAGACACCAACTGACGACATTTTTTAACAAAATCTTAAAATATATTTATAACCTATAGACTCTTAGCTAATTTCATTTTCCTTTCTTTTTTACTAAACTTTTTTTCTGACCCATGTCTTCTGAAGTGTACTGTTTAGACGCCAAAAGCAGGAGTGATAAGAGCGATGGCAGGTCCGTAGAAGTACGTAATACTGTATGAGGTGCTGTAGTTCCACCTATAGCACCACTAAAAAGTTAATTATTCTATTCAATAATTATTGCTCTCCCTTCTGCTTGGTCTTGAAGGAAGCCGGCCTCGGGTGAAAGAGAGCTGTGACGATCTCTGTCTGGAGCCAGTAGGTGTGGGACCGGGACGTCCACCTCCTGGGGCTCGTGCAGCTCAGGCTCTGCTTCAGGAGGCTAGGGTCGTTCTTGCTTTTGCTGGGGTGGTCTCCGGACCCGACCACGGCGGTCAACGGTTTGGAGTCCCTGCGCCTTCTTTCACCAACTTCGAGGTCAACTCCGGATCTGGAGCCTCTAGTGCAGTTTGTTGTTGCCCTCAACCTCGTCCTGACAGTTCTTGCGACGGCGCTGGAATCAGTCGTAATGGCGTTTGTCTCTCTATTCGAAACTTTTCGGGGCCGAGGAGAGGGGGGGGGGGGGCAGCTTCATGAGTGACAGCTTCTCCATATCAACCTACCCTAGCCTTGCACTCTGGAGAGGCCACTCCAGACCGACAACCAGAGAGCAACTTTATAGTTTCCTGAGATTGATGGATGCCTACTAGTTCTGCATTAGGTGTTGTAGTTCTGCATGTGGTGCTGTAGTTATGTATTAAGTGCTGTAGTTCTGCATGTGGTGCTGTAGTTCTGTATATGGTGCTGTAATTCTGTATGAGGTGCTGTAGTTCTGCATGTGTTGCTGTAGTTTTGCATGTGGTGCAGTAGTTCTATATGTGGTGCTATAGTTCTGTATAAGGTGCAATAGTTCTGTATAAGATGCAGCAGTTCAGAATTGGGTGCTGTAGTTCTGCATTAAGAGCTGTAGTTCTGTATGAAGTGCTGTCGTTCTGTATGTGGTGCTGTAGTTCTGTTAGGTACTGTAGTCCTGTATGAGGTGCAGTAGTTCTGTATGTGTTGCTGTAGTTCTGCGTGTGGTGCTGTAGTTCTGCACGTGGAGCAGTAGTTCTGTATGATGTGCTGTAGTTCTGCATGTGGTGCTGTAGTTCTGTATATGGTGCTGTAGTTCTGTATGAGGTGCTGTAGTTCTGTATGAGGTGCTGTAGTTCTCCATTATGTGCTGTAGTTCTGTATGAGGTAATGTAGTTCTGCATGTGGTGTTGTAGTTCTGTATGTGCTGCTGTAGTTCTGCATTAGGTGATGTAGTTCTGTATATGGTGCTGTAGTTCTGCATGCGATGCTGTAGTTCTGCATGTGGTGCTGTAATTCTGTATGAGGTGCTGTAGTTCTGCATGTGTTGCTGTAGTTTTGCATGTGGTGCAGTAGTTCTATATGTGGTGCTATAGTTCTGCGTGTGGTGCTGTAGATCTGTATGCGATGCTGTAGTTCTCTATGTGGTGCTGTAGTTCTGTATGTGCTGCTGTAGCTCTGCATGTAGTGCAGTAGTTCTGTTTGGGGTTTTGTAGGTCTGTATGAGGTGCTGTAGTTCTGCATGTGGTGCTGTAGTTCTGTATGTGATGCTGTAGTTAAGCATGTGGTGCTGTAGTTCTGTATAAGGTGCTGTAGTTCTGTATGTGTAGCTGTAGTTCAGTATGTGGTGCTGTAGTTCTACATGTGGTACTGAAGTTCTGCATTAGGTGCTGTAGTTCTCTATGTGGTGCTCTAGTTCTGTATGAGATGCTGTAGTTCTGCGTGTTGGGCAGTAGTTCTGTATGAGGTGCTGTAGTTCTGTAAGAGGTATTGTAGTTCTGCATTAGGTGCTGTATTTCTCTATGAGGTGCTGTAGTTCTGCAATAGGTGCTGTAGTTCTGCAATAGGTGCTGTAGTTCTGCAATTAGTGCTGTAGTACTGTATTAGGTTCTATATTTCTGTATGAGGTTCTGTAGTTTTGTATGAGGTTCTGCAGTTTTGTATGAGGTTCTGTAGTTTTGTATGAGGTTCTGTAATTCTACAATAGGTGCTGTAGTTCTGTATAATGTTCTGTAGTTCTGTATGAGATTCTGTAGTTCTGTATGAGGTTGTGTAGTTCAGTATGAGGTTCTGTAATTCTACAATATGTGCTGTAATTCTGTATGAGGTGTTGCAGTTCTGTATGAGGTCTGTAGTTCTGCATCAGGTGCTGTAGTTCTGTATGAGATTTTGTAGTTTTGTACCCTTCACCACCTTACCTACCCTCCACCACCTTGCCTACCCTCCACCACCTTCCCTACCCTCCACCACCTTCCCTACCCTCCACCACCTTCCCTACCCTCCACACAAACTTGCCTACCCTCCACAACCTTCCCTACCCTCCACCACCTTCCCTACCCTTCGGCACCTTTCCTACCCTCCACTACCTTGCCTACCCTCCACCACCTTGCCTACCCTCCACCACCTTCCCTATCCCCCCACTACTTTCCCTACCCTCCACCACCTTGCCTACCCTTCACCACCGTGCCTACCCTCCACCTCCTTCCCTACCCCCCACCACCTTCCCTACCCTCCACGCAACCTTGCCTACCCTCCACCACCTTCCCTACCCTCCACCACCTTGCCTACCCTCCACCACCTTGCCTACCCTTCACCACCTTGCCTACCCTCCACCACCTTGCCTACCCTTCACCACCTTGCCTACCCTCCACCACCTTGCCTACCCTCCACCACCTTGCCTACAACCTTGCCTACCCTCCACCACCTTCCCTACCCTCCACCACCTTGCTTACCCTCCACCACCTTCACCACTCTACCTTCACCACCTTGCCTACCCTCCACCACCTTGCCTACCCTTCACCACCTTGCCTACCCTTCACCACCTTGCCTACCCTTCACCACTTTGCCTACCCTTCACCACCTTGCCTACCCTTCACCACCTTGCCTCCCCTTCACCACTTTGCCTACCCTTCACCACTTTGCCTACCCTTCACCACCTTGCCTACCCTTCACCACCTTGCCTCCCCTTCACCACTTTGCCTACCCTTCACCACTTTGCCTACCCTTCACCACCTTGCCTACCCTTCACCACCTTGCCTACCCTTCACCACCTTGCCTACCCTTCACCACTTTGCCTACCCTTCACCACCTTGCCTACCCTTCACCACCTTGCCTACCCTTCACCTCCTTGCCTACCCTTCACCACCTTGCCTCCCCTTCACCACTTTGCCTACCCTTCACCACCTTGCCTATCCTTCACCACCTTGCATACCTTTCACCACCTTCCCTCCCCTTCACCACCTTACCTACCCTTCACCACCTTGCCTACCCTTCACATTGCCTACCCTCCACCACCTTCTCTACCCTCCACCACCTTCCCTACCCTTCGGCACCTTCCCCACCCTTCACCACCTTGCCAACCCTTCGCCACCTTCCCTACCCTTAACCACCTTGCCTACCCTTCACCACTTTGCCTAGCCTTTAGCACCTTGCCTACCCTTCACATTGCCTACCCTTCACCACCTTGCCTACCCTTCACCACTTTGCCTATCCTTCCCCACCTTGCCTGCCCTTCACCACTTTGCCTACCCTTCACTACCTTGTCTACCCTTCACCACTTTGACTATCCTTCACCACCTTCTTTACCCTTCACCACCTTGCCTACTCTTCACCACTTTGCCTACCCTTCACCATCTTGCCTATCCTTTCCCTCCTTGCCTACCCTTCACCACTATGCCTACCCATCACCACGTTGCCTACCCTTCACCATTTTGCCTATCCTTCAGCACCTTGCCTACCCTTCACCACCTTGCCTATCCTTCACCACCTTGCCTACCGTTTACCACTTTGCCTATCATTCACCACCTTGCCTACCCTTCACATTGCCTACCCTTCACCAGCTTGACTACCCTTCTCCACCTTGCCTACCCTTCACCAGCTTGCCTACCCTTCACCACTTTGCCAATTTTTCCCCACCTTGCCTACCCTTCACCACCTTGCCTACCGTCCACCACCTTGCCTACCCTTCACCACCTTGCCTACCCTTCACCACCTTGCCTACCCTTCACCACCTTGCCTACCTTTCACCACCTTGCCTACCCTTCACCACCTTGCCTACCCTTCACCACCTTGCCTACCCTTCACCACCTTGCCTACCCTTCACCACCTTGCCTACCCTTCACCACCTTGCCTACCCTTCACCACCTTGCCTACCCTTCACCACTTTGCCTACCCTTCACCACCTTGCCTACCCTTTACGATCTTGCCTACAGTTTACCACCTTGCCTACCCTTCACCACCTTGCCTACCCTTCACCACTTTGCCTATCCTTTACTACCTTGCCTACCCTTCACCACCTTGCCTACCCCTCACCACCTTGCCTACCCTTGACCACTTTGCCTATCCTTCCCCACCTTGCCTACCCTTCACCAATTTGCCTATCCTTTACTACCTTGTCTACCCTTTACCACCTTGCCTACCTTTGACCACCTTGCCTACCCTTCACCACCTTGCCTACCCTTCACCACTTTGCCTATCCTTCACCACCTTGCCTACCCTTCACCACCTTGCCTACCCTTCACCACCTTGCCTACCCTTCACCACTTTGCCTATCCTTTACTACCTTGCCTACCCTTCACCACCATGCCTACCCCTCATCACCTTGCCTACCCTTCACCACTTTGCCTATCCTTCCCCACCTTGCCTACTCTTCACCACCTTGCCTACCCTTCACCATCTTTCCTACTATTCACCACCTTACCTACCCTTCACCACTTTGCCTATCCTTCCCCACCTTGCCTACCCTTCACCACCTTGCCTACCCTTCACCACCTTGCCTGCCCTTCACCACCTTGCCAACCCTTCACCACCTTGCCTATAACCTTCACCTCCTTGCCAACCCTTCACCACCTTGCCTATAACCTTCACCACCTTGCCTACCCTTCACATTGCCTACCCTCCACCTAAAATGGTGGAGGGTAGATTTGGTGATGCTAAAACACAGCTTCACCAGGAAAGAGTAACTACAAGCTCCATAGTCCTCCACACACTCAAGGTAGTTATCAGGAGAACCCACTAAGGGATCTCACAGGGTAATAGTTATCAAGTGATGTGTTCACCTGTTTTATGATTAAACGCGTGATGTGTTGCAGGAGTTGCAATGTCAACCATGAACATGGTACACTCTATTGCCACAGTCACTGTGAACAGTTGGGATTGGTATTCATCATTATTCGTGTCATTCTTCAAATTATTCACTGCTTCCGTCGTGAATATCTTCCACCTAGTGAGGATATCTTTTGAAAGAAGGGAAGATCCTTGCGAAAGAAAAGTTAAGGTGGATCAGGAGAAAGCGTAAGCCAGTGCTAGTAGCACTTTTAAGGGATGTGAGGATAAGGATCTGGGATTGGACGGAGGAAAAGAACGGTGCCCAACCGCTTGGACGGTTGGGGATCGAACGCTGACCTTCAAGAAGCGAGGCTGTGGCCCGACTCTTGAGATGATATGTTTTTGAAAGCCATCGTGCGTTTTTATCCATATGCTGAGATGACCAATTCTTCTGATCTTTCAGGCTTCGGAATTATGAGCAGAATCCCTGTCATTTGTATCGACGTGAATATTTGTATCGTTGTTGACGGAATTTTTGTTTCTACTGCGGACAGCATCAGTGTTTGTGTCATTATTGCCGGTATTTTTGTCTCTGTTGTGGACAGCATCAGCGTGTGTGTCATTTGTGACGATAGTTGGGCTCCTTCCGAGGACAGCATCAGTGTTTGTGTCAATTTTGACGATAGTTGGGCTCTTTCTGGGGAAAGCATCTGTGTTTGTGTCATTATTGCCGGTATTTTTGTCCCTACTGTGGACAGCATCAGTGTGTGTGTCATTTTTGACGATAGTTTTGCTCCTTCCGAGGACAGCATTAGTGTTTGTGTCATTTTTGACGATAGTTGGGCTCTTTCTGAGGACAGCATCAGTGTTTGTGTCATTTCTGACGATAGTTGGGCTCCTTCCGAGGACAGCATCAGTGTTTGTGTCATTTTTGACGGTAATTGGGCTCTTTCTAAGGACAGCATCAGTATTTGTGTCATTATTGCCGGTATTTTTGTCCCTACTGGGGACAGCATCAGTGTTTGTGTCATTTTTGACGATAGTTGGGCTCTTTCTGAGGACAGCATCAGTGTTTGTGTCATTTCTGACGATAGTTGGGCTCCTTCCGAGGACAGCATCAGTGTTTGTGTCATTTTTGACGGTAGTTGGGCTCTTTCTGAGGACAGCATCAGTGTTTGTGTCATTTCTGACGATAGTTGGGCTCCTTCCGAGGACAGCATCAGTGTTTGTGTCATTTTTGACGGTAGTTATGCTCTTTTTGAGGACAGCATCAGTGTGTGTTTCATTATTGCCGGTATTTTTGTCCCTACTGAGGACAGCATCAGTGTGTGTCATTTTTGACGATAGTTTGGCTCCTTCCGAGGACAGCATTAGTGTTTGTGTCATTTTTGACGATAGTTGGGCTCTTTCTGAGGACAGCATCAGTGTTTGTGTCACTTCTGACGATAGTTGGGCTCCTTCCGAGGACAGCATCAGTGTTTGTGTCATTTTTGACGGTAATTGGGCTCTTTCTAAGGACAGCATCAGTGTTTGTGTCATTATTGCCGGTATTTTTGTCCCTACTGGGGACAGCATCAGTGTTTGTGTCATTTTTGACGATAGTTGGGCTCTTTCTGAGGACAGCATCAGTGTTTGTGTCATTTCTGACGATAGTTGGGCTCCTTCCGAGGACAGCATCAGTGTTTGTGTCATTTTTGACGGTAGTTGGGCTCTTTCTGAGGACAGCATCAGTGTGTGTTTCATTATTGCCGGTACTTTTGTCCCTACTGTCGACAGCATCAGTGTTTGTATCATTTTTGCCAGTATTTTTTTCCCTACTGTCGACAGCATCAGTGTTTATGTCAATTTTGACGATAGTTGGGCTTTTTCTGAGGACAGCATCAGTGTTTGTGTCATTGTTGACGATAGTTGGACTCTTTCTGAGGACAGCATCAGTGTTTGTGTCATTTTTTACGATAGTTGGGCTTTTCCTGAGGACAGCATCAGTGTTTGTGTCATTTTTGACAATAGTTGGGCTCCCTCTGAGGACAGCATCAGTCTGTGTGTCATTTTTGACGATAGTTGGGCTCTTTCTGAGGACATCATCAGTGTTTGTGTCATTTTTGTCGATAGTTGGATTCCTTCTGAGTACAGCATCAGTGTGTGTGTCATTTTTGACGATAGTTGGGTTCCTTCTGAGTACAGCATCAGTGTGTGTGTCATTTTTGACGATAGTTGGGCTCTTTCTGAGGACATCATCAGTGTTTGTATCATTTTTGACGATAGTAGGGCTCCTTCTGTGGACAGCATCAGTGTTTGTGTCATTTTTGACGATAGTTGGGTTGCTTCTGAGGACAGCATCAGTGTGTGTGTCATTTTTGACGATAGTTGGGTTCCTTCTGAGTACAGCATCAGTGTGTGTGTCATTTTAGACGATAGTAGGGCTCTTTCTGAGGACATCATCAGTGTTTGTGTCATTTTTGACGATAGTTGGGTTGCTTCTGAGGACAGCGTCAGTGTTTGTATCATTTTTGACGATAGTAGGGCTCCTTCTGTGGACAGCATCAGTGTTTGTGTCATTTCTGACGATAGATGGGCTCCCTCTGAGGACAACATCAGTGTGTGTGTCATTTTTGACGATAGTTGGGCTCCCTCTGAGGACAACATCAGTGTGTGTGTCATTTTTGACGATAATTGGGCTCCCTCTGAGGACAGCATCAGTGTGTGTGTCATTTTTGACGATAGTTGGGCTCCCTCTGAGAACAGCATCAGTGTGTGTGTCAATTTTGATGATGGTTGGGCTTCTTCTGAGGACAGCATCAGTGTTTGTGTCATTTCTGACGATAGTTGGGCTCCCTCTGAGGACAGCATCAGTGTGTGTGTCATTTTTGACGATAATTGGGCTCCCTTTGAGGACAGCATCAGTGTGTGTGTCATTTTTTATGATAGTTGGGCTCCCTCTGAGGACATCATCAGTGTTTGTACCATAACTGATGGTACTTACGTTCCTACTGAGGAGTCCATCGGTGTTTGTGCCATTACTGGCCATTTTATCATTAATTGAGATAATGATTACGTTTTTATTGTCAATCGTTCTGTTTTTGACGATATGACCCTGCTTAGAGCCTTAATATACCGAAAATATCAGAAGAATAACAAAAATGGATGCCAAAAGCAGTATTACCCAAAATTAAAAATTGAAAGCCGTTTCATGGATTAATTCTTCTTACCCTGATTGTTAGTCTCCCCTCTTAGATATCACTTGTTCTTTGCAACAATACATCAGCACCGGGAGTTGATACCCAGTGTCTCGCGGACGTATACTGTGTTGGGGCTGCTCGTTTAATCTGTCCCGATATTCTTGTGTATATATGTAATTATCAAATTTCTTTGTGTTTTCCCTCGAAGCTCCTGCATTGGGTTCAGAGTGTGTGTTGTGTCGGGGTTGGTGGTGTATTCTTTCCTAATATTGTGGTGTTGTATTTTCTCTCATCATTTCAGCATATTTATCATTATGGTTTAATAGTTCAGCTGGCAAGGGTTGGTGGTTGAGTCCTCCCCGTGGTTGGTCATAGTTATAATGAGGGTTTCCAATGTTGTGGGTTATGGCTGAGCTCTGTTTCCTTGGCCACATTTGATCATCTGTTTAACTCTGTTTGCTTGGCTACATTTGATCATCTGTTTAAGTCTGTTTCGTTGTAACCATTTAATCCTCTGTTTAAGTCTGTTTCTGTGATAATTTAACCTTCTAGTCAGACAGACAAATGCTGAGGTGGAAGATATCGTTCTTCAGGTAAATTTGATCCTTTCGAGAACTTTGTAATAATTGTTGATGGGAAATGTTGAATTTTGATATTTCTTCCTCAACTCTTATTTCTAGATGATATTCAATTTCTCTCTCTGAAGTTCGCGGTAATGTGACTTCTGTTATATAAGTTGTTTTCTCAGTGATTTGATCAACAACGGGGTTGAGGTAACAACTTTATTTTATCAATTTCCTTCTATACGAACAGCAAAACATAAATCTTATAGTTTATATCTTATATACAAACAATTAAATGTCTTTCACATTTTTCACATCTTCATTGAGTTTAAGTTTGAGATGAAAGTTATCAATTTATCCACGTTTAGTGGAGAGAGGACTTTTCTTGTCATTCATAATTACGTGTTATTATTTATAGAAATAAACAATTGAATACTAAATCTTAATCTGTAATATTTAAATTCCTTATTTGTGTTGTAAATTAATAGTTGGGTTGGACTGTGCTCTCGAATAAATAATTTGTCCCACGTTAAAGAATGTTGCGTCTATCCATCACTTGCAACAAGAGCAGAGGGACACCAGCGACTCTCCCAGCAGCTTGTCTGTACATAACTTGGCACTTCACTCCATATCTGCGTGTCAGGTGAAATGTTCGGAGCCTCGGGCTTATCACTGAAAGCAATTCTTCGCCAAAACTTCAAATACGTCTCTTCAAAGCTTGGTAAAGGAAAAAGTGATCTAACAGAGCCACGTCGCTTAATCTTGAAAATGAGTTATATCTTCTTGAAGGTGTTGTGCTCGTCGTCCGTGCTGCGGTGAGCCTCGTCCTTTGAGGTCCGGCTTCCGTAAATCTCGAACTTTTCTTAAAAAAAAAAAAAGGGGGAAGGCCTCCCAACCAACATCCGTCCAGTGTGTGTGCTCTGAGACGCGACTGAGGACCCTAGCTCCAATCGAGAGCCTCATAGCACCTCATCGGGGTCACGTGACCTTCGGTCCTACCCTGATTGGATGACCGATGCAAACTTTGACTAATAGGGTCGCGTGCCATTATCCTCGATCCCAGAGCCTAGCCTGACTCCAATGGGCGCGAAACTGATCATGATATGAAGACACCAACTGACGACATTTTTTAACAAAATCTTAAAATATATTTATAACCTATAGACTCTTAGCTAATTTCATATTCCTTTCTTTTTACTAAACTTTTTCTGACCCATGTCTTTTGAAGTGTACTGTTTAGACGCCAAAAGCAGGAGTGATAAGAGCGATGGCAAGTCCGTAGAAGTACGTAATACTGTATGAGGTGCTGTAGTTCCACCTATAGCATCACTAAAAAGTTAATTATTCTATTCAATAATTATTGCTCTCCCTTCTGCTTGGTCTTGAAGGAAGCCGGCCTCGGGTGAAAGAGAGCTGTGACGATCTCTGTCTGGAGCCAGTAGGTGCGGGACCGGGACGTCCACCTCCTGGGGCTCGTGCAGCTCAGGCTCTGCTTCAGGAGGCTAGGGTCGTTCTTGCTTTTGCTGGGGTGGTCTCCGGACCCGACCACGGCGGTCAAGGGTTTGGAGTCCCTGCGCCTTCTTTTACCAACTTCGAGGTCAACTCCGGATCTGGAGCCGCTAAGGCAGTTTGTTGTTGCATTCAACCTCGTCCTGACAGTTCCTGCGACGGCGCTGGAATCAGTCAATTGGCGTTTGTCTTTCCATTGGAGACTTTTCGTCGCCTACGAGAGTGGAGGGGGGACATGCTGCATGGGTGACAGCTTCTCCTCCATATCAACCTACCCTTGCTTTCCCCCATGTAGAGGCCACTCCAGACCGACAACCAGAGAGTAACTCAATAGTTTCCTAAGATTGATGGATGCCTACTAGTTCTGCATTAGGTGTTGTAGTTCCGCTTGTGGTGCTGTAGTTCTGTATGTGGTGCTGTAGTTCAGTATTTGGTGCTGTAGTTCTGTATGTGGTGCTGTAGTTCAGTATAAGGTGCTGTAGTTCTGTACGGGGTGCTGTAGTTCTGTATGTGGTGCTGTAGTTCTACTTATAATGTTGTAGTTCTGCATTTGGTGCTGTAATTCTATATGAGGTGCTGTAGTTCTGTATGAGGTGCTGTAGTTCTGTATGAGGTGCTGTAGTTCTGCACGTGGTGCTGTATTAGGTGCTGTAGTTCTGTATGTACTGTTGTAGTTCTGCATTAGGTGCTGTAGTCTGCATGTGGTGCTGTAGTTCTACTTATAATCTGCAGTTCTAGGTGCTGTAGTTCTGTATGAGGTGCTGTAGTTCTGTATGAGGTGCTGTAGTTCTACTTGTACTGTTGTAGTTATGCATTAGGTGTTGTAGTCTACATGTGTTGCTGAAGATCTGCACTAGGTGCTGTAGTTCAGTATGAGGTGCTGTAGTTCTGTTTGAGGTGCTGTAGTTCTGAATATGGTGCTGTAGTTCTGTATGGTGGTGTAGTTCTGTATGTGGTGCTGTAGTTCTGCATGTGGTGCTGTAGTTCTGCATGTGGTGCTGTAGTTCTGCATGTGGTGCTGTAGTTCTGCATGTGGTGCTGTAGTTGTATATATGGAGAGCCGGTCGGCCGAGCGGACAGCACGCTGTACTTGTGATCCTGTGGTCCTGGGTTCGATCCCAGGCGCCGGCGAGAAACAATGGGCAGAGTTTCTTTCACCCTATGCCCCTGTTACCTAGCAGTAAAATAGGTACCTGGGTGTTAGTCAGCTGTCACGGGCTGCTTCCTGGGGGTGGAGGCTTGGTCGAGGACCGGGCCGCGGGGACACTAAAGCCCCGAAATCATCTCAAGATAACCTCAAGATGGTGATGTAGTTCTGTATGTGGTCTTGTAGTTCTATATGTGATGCCGTAGTTCTGTATGTGGTGCTGTAGTTCTGTATGTGGTGCTGTAGTTCTGTATGTGGTCCTGTAGTTCTATATGTGATGCCGTAGTTCTGTATGTGGTGCTGTAGTTCTGTATGTGGTGCTGTAGTTCTGTATGTGGTCCTGTAGTTCTATATATGATGCTGTAGTTCTGTATGTGGTGCTGTAGTTCTGTATGTGGTGCTGTAGTTCTGTATAAGATGCAGTAGTTCTGTATGAGGTACTGTAGTTCTGTATGTGGTGCTGTAGTTTTGTATGTGATGCTATAGTTCTGTTTGTAGTGCTGTAGTTCTGTATGTGGTGCTGTAGTTCTGTATGTGGTGATGTAGTTCTTTATGTGGTGCTGTAGTTCTGTATGGGGTGCTGTAGTTCTGCATGTGGTGCTGTAGTTCTGTATGTGTTGCTGTAGTTCTGTATGTGGTGCTGTAGTTCTGTATGAGGTGCAGTAGTTCTGTACGAAGTACTGTAGTTCTGCGTGTGGTTCTGTAGTTCTGTATGTGGTTCTGTAGTTCTGTATGTGGTGCTGTAGTTCTGTATGTGTTGCTGTAGTTCTGTATGTGGTGCTGTAGTTCTGTATGTTGTACTGTAGTTCTGTTTGAGGTTCTGGAGTTCTGTTTGTGGATCTGTAGCTCTGCATTAAGTGCTGTAGTTCTGTGTGAGGTTCTGTAGTTCTGTTTGAGGTTCTGTAGATCTGCATTAAGTGCTGTACTTCTGCATGTGGTGCTGAAGTTCTGTATAAGGTTCTGTAGTTCTGTATGAGGTGCTGTAGTTCTGTATGAGATTCTGTAGTTCTGTATGAATTTCTGTAGTTCTGTATGAGGGTCTGAAGTTCTGCATGAGGTGCTGTAGTTTTGTATGTGGTGCTGTAGCTTTGCATTAGGTTCTGTAGTTCTGTATGAGGAGCTGTAGTTGTGCATTAGATTTTGTAGTTCTGTATGTGGTGCGAAAGTTCTGTATGAAGTACTGTAGTTTTGCGTGTGGTGCTGTAGTTCTGTATGTGGTTCTGTAGTTCTGTATGTGGTGCTGTAGTTCTGTATGTGGTGCTGTAGTTCTGTATGTGGTGATGTAGTTCTGTATGTGGTGCTGTAGTTCTGTATGTGGTGCTGTAGTTCTTTATGTGGTGCTGTAGTTCTGTATGTGGTTCTGTAGTTCTGTATGTGGTGCTGTAGTTCTGTATGTGGTGCTGTAGTTCTGTATGTGGTGCTGTAGTTCTGTATGTGGTTCTGTAGTTCTGTATGTGGTGCTGTAGTTCTGTATGTTGTTCTGTAGTTCTGTATGTGGTGCTGTAGTTCTGTATGTTGTTCTGTAGTTCTGTATGTGGTGCTGTAGTTCTGTATGTGGTGCTGTAGTTCTGTATGTAGTGCTGAAGTTCTTTATGTGGTGCTGCAGTTATGTATGTGGTG